GTAAAAATATACATGTATTTCTCACCCACCTTCTTTTTGTCTTTTAATTTTGAAATAATTTTATCTACAGAAAAGTTGCAAAAGAAAGGCAGAGTCCTATGTATCCCTCACCTAGTTTCCCTGATGTTAGTATCTTACATAACTATTGTCCAATTATCAAAACCGATAAACTAAAATTAAGCAAATTTTGCCAATTTTAAGCAATAACAAAGAGAGATGCCATCGATATTCTTATATATATGGTGGTGGCTGTGTGCTGTCGAATTGGTTCTGACTGTCAGCAACCCTGTGTAGAATTTCAGAGGCTGTAAATCTTTACAGGAGTTTTAGAGAGCCTCCTCTTTTGAACTACTGACCTTGTGGTTAGCAGCCCAGTTCATAATCTACTACACTATCAGGGCTTCTTCTTATATATAAAAGTTTATGGAAAGATTCCATTATGTTTTCATTACATTTTATCCACAACGTTTTTGAAGCCCTCTCATATCTTCTGATGATCCTATGTGTCAGGGGTCCCTAAGAACAAGCAAGAATTTTAGCTTACAAAGATATAGAAAAATATTTAAGTGGATGTAAATATAAACATGATAGACACATGGTAAGTTGTATTTTCATAAGTCTTTTTTGACATTTTATTAGCAGCTACTACCTCAAACTTTCTTATTCACGTAGCAAACTCTGGGAATCACAGAAATGGAAGACAGAATCTTATCCTTTACACTCCACATCATTTTATAGTCTCAAAAAGAAAGATCATCCTACTGTAGAAAAAACTCCTGGAACCGACATCCAAAAGATTTTGCAATTTACCAACTAGTTGTCGTCTCCCATGCTGGGTGCACTTGAACAAGCCAGGGAACCTCTCTTGGTCTCAGTGTCATGTGTAAAATGAAGGGGCTGACCTGTCAAGACAGCTGTTGCTGGTGCTGTTGGGTGCCGCTGAATCAGTTCCGACTCATAGTGACCCTATGACAACAGAACGAAACACGGCCCGGTCCAGCCAGAAAGTCCTACTATTCTAATCTGATACATACTTTATAAATGACATAATGAGTACTCTGTGTATGGCAATTAGAAGTAAGTGATAAACAGGCGATATTTAAATTTTCTCTTACGTTAACCATCTGTAAACACTTCCACACTCCAGCACTTTTTAAGACTCTATCCTGGACACACTTTAAAAAGACAAAGGTTTTGTGTCTCACATCCCAATGACAAAGCATTCCTTACACCTCTCCCATCGATTTCAGAAAAAGGATTCTCAAACTGCAGTTTGCAACATACCTTCAGAGGTCTGTACATACTCTGGGAATTTTTAATTTGGTATTTCCATTTTATTGATAGTCTAAAAATATTAGTATAGGCCTTGATAACTGAAAACTGTCCCTGCACGCTGCTACCTTGCTGTCTGGGACTTTGTGGCCTGACCTTCTGCCCTGTCCTCCCATGCTCCACACCCAACGTGGCTGGAGGGAGGGCACAAAATGCCCCAGTGTGTGCCTTGCAAAGCTCTTTCTACCAAGATGCCCCCCACCTCTTTTCTTCAGCCTCCTTTCATGCACAACTGCCACCTGGGAACTGGTCCAGGGGCAGCCATGCCCTCCCTGGTCAGACCTCGTCCTGACTTCCTCTGGTCTCCCAAGGGCTTCAGGGTTGAGAGAGAGCAGCTATTGAAGCTGGGTCAGGAGAGCCAGGCTAGGGGGTGCTAGAGAATCAGAGAGCCGGGGTGGCCTGCCCATGCCTCCCATTGGTGTTATCTGCTAGTTGACCGTGCTGGTGGACATGGACACAGATCCTAATATGCTCCAGACCCTGCAGGCACTTTGGTAAGCACCTAAAGGACCCCATGTAAATGTGTTTGCTCTGCGCCCTGGCTTTCCAGTTTGAGGCCCACAGTCTCCATTTCTGCATCCTGCATGGCCAGGCACAGAATCCCATTTATGTCAAGAATGACTCTTCCTGCTCTTCCCCGAAGTCCTGCTTGTGTTCCAGCTGGGAGCTGGGTGGGCAGCTGCTCTGAGCGCTCTGCCACCACCCTCCCGTTCCTGCTGCTGCGCTGCTGTCCTCTGGCCCTTTCTTGCCATGCAAAGGGAATTCTTGAGATTCAATAAACATTATCCAGATTGCAAAAAGAAAAGAACAGGGTGGTATGCCTGTTTTCAAGCAAGTGATGCCAAGTAGTACACCTTTAATCATCACTGAAACATGAGAAAAGAGCAATGACAGACTTAAGATGTAAATTAATTCACACCCAGGTAACGTCCAAATGATGTCACCCTCTCCAAACAGAAGGTTTTGTAGTAACTCAAATAAAGAAAAGTGGCGGAAAAGATGAGTCATCGCATGAACTGCAGTAGGGAGATGTACCTGTTATAGTCAACAGAAGCTATGCCCGTAGTCAAGGCCATGTTTATATTGCAAGCTATCATTGAATTTAACAAATTAGCACCTAGAACATTAAAACACTATCAGCAATCTGAATAATACTGTAGTGTTTGTAAATGCAATCCAGCTTTATAATTGCATGAGTAGGAATATCATTTAATACAGAGTTATCAGCAAGTGTTATAATTCTATATTCTTCTGTGATATAATAATAAAACTTAAGTCAGCAATGGGGGCTCATGAGAACATGACTTGCCTTCAAAAGCGGTGGGGGGTGGGGGGGACAGCAGATCCAGTGTCTTGAACAAGTTTGAGAAAACACTGTGCTTTGGAGCAGACTGCTTTCTTATTCTCACTCCCAATTCTTTGAGCTACTACTGGGCTTGTGGGAGCAGAAGCTCTGGGTCCTGAGACTAAGGAGTAAAGAGAAAGGCTCATACCAGGGCATGACCCCTGCCTGGGCTAAATCCAGCCCTCCAGTTGTTTTTGTAAATAGCTTCATTGGACCACAGCCAACCCCATTTACTTATGAAATGTCTATGGTTACTTTTGCATTACAGTGGCAGTTTGTATGGCCTCAAATACTCATATCAGGCCCTTTACCAGAGAAGGTTTGTATGCCTCAGATGAACTAATAGAGCAAAAAGGAGAGTAAGCTCACGGACCTCTGAAAGGCCTCGAGCAAAAAAGCAAAGTATTACTGTTGCTAAAAGGGAAGCAAAACACTGGGATCCCAGGATCTGCATATGAAGACATTAAAAATTAGAAGTAAGATGCCACTGACAACTTTTTCCAAGTTATCATTTACGAAGCAGTATGTGAGGATCTAAGTACCTCTAATGGGAAGGCATAACCAGTTTCAACTATCAGGGGGGAAAGAAATTTTTTTTTTTTAAATCACCATCTTCGAACTTCTCTATGAACCTTTTGAGAAATGGTCACTAACCACTTTTTTAAAGGTAGAGAGCATTATCCCCATTTTACTAACTGTTGTTAGGTGCCAACAAGTCAGTTCTGACTCAGATCCTGTATAGTGTTTCCGAGCAGCGGCTGGTGGGTTTGAACCACCACTTAAGTGAAAAAAGAGAAAATTAGTTAAGAGTTGTAAAAGAGAGCTTCAAAAAGTTCTTGTGATGATGGAATTTTTTTGAAGCCTCCTTGTAGAGGTAGAAGTGGAAGAGATAGGTTTTAGGAACAGTGTAAATTTCTGACTGAAGACCACCCTAGACATGAAAGAAATGTTTTCCCTCAATAAATAGAGATAAGAGGCCAGGAATGGAAATGAACCAGTGGCCTGAGATGCTGGTAAAAAAAATTCATTGAAATGGAAGGATATAGTTTCTTTCTTCTTGGAAGAAGAGGAATGAGATCTATGGCTGCGGCTGTTGGCATTTGGGGAGTGCAATGACAGCGTGTGGTTCTATAGGATAATCACTCCACCAAGAGGTTGGTTTGAGCTGCAAAGGTGGAGGCTCAAACTTACCAGTCACTCCTTGGAAACCCTATATAGAGTTGCTATGAGTCAGAACTGAATCTACAGTATTTAACAACAACAATGGCAGCATGAACTACTGGTATGGCACTGTAGGATCAGCATTGGACTCTGAAGCACAAGGTCAGCTATTCAAACCCACCAGCTGCTCCTCGGAAACCTTACACAGTGTCGCTATGAGTCAGAGCTGACTCAATAGCACTTAACAACAAAACAACAATGGCAGCGAGGGTGTCTCTGGGCTATGCAAACAGTGAATATGTTTTTCTGTTAACCAAGTAGTTGGAAGTTTGAATCCACCCAGGGCCACCTGAGAAGAAAGGCTTGGAGGTCTGCTTTCAAGCAATCAGTGACGCTGGCAGAGTCTTTCCAGATCTTCTTTCTTGCACTCTGATGATTACGAGTACAAAATCAAAAGCCCAAACCCACTGTCATCCAGTCCGTTCGAACTCACAGCAAACTACAGCTCAAAGCAGAAGTGCCCTGCAGGGTTTCTGAGGTTACAATCTGCTGATAAGTTTGAACTGCCTAACTTTCTGTTAGTATCCATCCAATTACTTTAACCATGGTGCTACCAGGGCTCTTTGATTATCACTCCAAACACACCTTTATAACCAACCTCTGGCCATTCAAAGCAAACCAAATCCAATTGTAAACAAACAGCTCCGAACACAAAATCTATGCCTGAAATATTTTCAAAACTACACAAAATGATTCTGAATACTAGACCCAAATCCAAAACACTTACACAAAATTGACATCTGCTGCCATAAAAGACATTGCATAAGAAGAGGCCTAGGCAATTTCATGGAGTTTTAAAATTCAACATTTATCTCAGTGTAACAAAAGGAATGTAACTCATACACAAAGAATAAACAATGAAAGGGCAGCAAAGGAGAGACAATGGAAACATTTTAAAACAACCTTTAAATCTTCTCCAGGCTCAAATCGCAAAGCACAATCTCAGCAGGTGAACTAATTTAAGAAGGTGGAGATAACTGTTATAGCAATTAGCCTGAACAACATTTAAAAAGCCACCTTTTACATTTTCCTCTACTAGACATTGTAAGTCTCTGAACTTGGCATAAAAGAAAAAGAATGAATAAAAAAGAGAAAAACTTACTGGAATTGAAAATTCCTCTGCCAAATACTTCAGTAAAGTTGCTTCTCTTGCCAAGAACTTGTTTCTTGCTTTCAGATTGCCTTGAAGTTGTGTATCAAACTCCTTTCTGACCACAGAAGCTACAGAGTCAATAATCACAAGTTTAACTCCCTTTGAAATAATTTCTTCTTCCAAAGACTCAATCCTGTGGAGAAGAAAGTGTACAATAGTGGATACATTCAATCTAGAAAAATGAAAGCCCTCTGGATCTCAATAGGCCAACCCACAGCCCTCAGAGCAATGGTACAGGTCAGGCAGTGTTTCTTCCCAACGTGCCTGGGGTTATCATGAACCGGGGACAGCTAACAACTAAAACATATGCTTAATGTTGTTGTTGCTACTGTGTGCTGTCGAGTCAGTTCCAACTCACAGAGACACAGTATAGGGTTTCCAAGGGGTGGCTATTGGGTTTGAAAAGCTAACCTTGTAGTTAGCAGTCCAATGCTGATCCAATGCATCACAGCAGGACGGACGGACATATATAGAGATAGATAGAGATAGAGAGAAAGAGAGAGACAGGGAGAGAGAGTATCCTGGTGTGGCGCTGTAGGATAAGCACCGACTGCTAGGTTGGTTTGAACCTCACTTAACAACAATATATATGTGTGTGTAGAGACAGTATTGCAAAGATAAATCAAGCAAAAATAAAACAACAGCAACAAGCTATTCCTCCCTAAATTATAATAATGATTGTAGGAATTTAATAAATATAATGCATTTTTTAGCTCTTCTGGGAGCATAGTGGTTATGAATTGGGCGGCTAACCTCAAGGTCGGCAGTTTGAAACTACCAGCTGTTCCATGGGAGAAAGATGAGGCGTTCTGCTCCCGTAAAGATTTGCAGCTTCGGAAACCCTATGTACAGTCGCTAACAGTCAGAACTGATTCCACGGTACTTAACAACAACAATACGTATTTTGGAGTCATGGTGTGGCACCGTGGGTTAATGCACTGGACTGTAAGTTCAGTTTGAACCCAAAGGTCAGCGATTCAAACTCACCAGCAGCTCCTCGGAAACCCTTTATAAGGTCAGTATGAGTTGGAACCAACTTGACGTCACTTAACAACAAAAATACATATTTTGAGAACTTCTGGTGTGGCCCTGTAAGATCAGCACTGGAATGCGAACCAAAAAATCAGCAGTTCAAACCTACCAGCTGCTCCTTGGAAACCCTATACAAGGTTGCTATGAGTTGGCATATCAACTCAACAGCACTTAGCAACAACATACATACATATTGCACTCTTTTGGAAACAACAAAATGTTTTCATTTCTAGACTCTGACAATACTGGGAAAGCTCCAAATTTGTATCATAGCCAATCTATATATATACATAAGCAAATAATCATACCAGGGTTAAGTATATATTGTTGTTGTTAAGTGCTGTCAAGTTGGTTCCGACTCATAGTGACCCTGTATAGGGTTTCTGAAGAGCAGCTGGTGAGACTGAACTGCCAACCTTGCAGTTTAAACTGACCTTGCAGTCAGTCTAGCACATTAACCCTTAGTAAGACACATTAGGAAAATAATCTAAACTCAATCTCTGGATCTTTCTTACTTAAGTAAACTAGCTAGGGTTTTTAAAACCCATAGTTTTGCTGTAATTGTTTGTGATGTTATATCCCACAACAAGCGGAAAGATTTCTCACTTATCCATGATATCACCTTTGGCCTTTTGGCATTTAGTCTTCCCCCTGCATATGGGTAACTGGATGCAGCGTAAATTACGGATCTATATAATTTTTAGGAGAATACTAATATGGTACTTGAGAAGAAGAGGCTGCATCCACGGTATGCAACCACACATGCACACTGGTTTTTTCCTTTCTCTTGGCTCCCAAGCTCAATTTTTATTGGTTCTACCACCAGAACGTATTTCTCTAATCCAATGTAATTTCCTCCATCTCCATTGTCAATATCCTAATCCACACTTCATTAACTCTCAACCTGCGTAAGAACTCTTCTTTGTCCACCTAAAATCCAGTCTTCAGAGGAAGCCAGGTTGATCTTTTTTGCAAAGGAACATTAGAAAAATTAAGGCCTTCAGCAGAAGCATTCAGTGCTTCTACTGCACTTGGAACCTACTCTCTTCCAAATTTACAAGGCCGATGTGATCTGGCTCTTCTCCCATCTCTTTCTTGCCAGTCTCCCCATTGCTCCCTTACTCTCCTCCTACACTACTCTCTTTTCTGGGTCTTTTCCTCATAGTATCCTCTTCCTAAAATACTCTTCACTTAACTCTTGGCATGGCTAGCTCATTTTCTGTCCACACCTCACCTTCCCAATGAGACTTTCCATGACTAGCTTGTTTAAGACCTCATGTGGATTACTCTACCTCTTATCATTGTATTTTCTTTCCTTCATATCATTTATCACAAGCTGTAATGGATTTATTAAGGTTTTTCTTCTTTATTACCTATGTTCTCTTATTCAAATATAAGCTCCATGTGGGCAGATCTTATTCAACACTGTATTCACTACATGTGCACAGTGTCTAGCATGTAGTTGTTTTTAAGTGCTATCAAGACTCATAACGACCCTTTACAGGGTTTCCAAGGAGCATCTGGTGGGTTTGAACTGCTGATCTTGTGGTTCCAAGTTCAGTGCTGATCCAAAAGGACTCCACCATGTAGTAAGACCTCAGAAATATTTGCTCTAGTTGAATAAATGAATGAATCAGTTGTGGTGGGGTCTAAGAAATCCAGAGAGAATTTGTGGAGAGGCAGGATTTGAATTAGAAAGGAAACCACTGCTTGATGGGATTTATCAAGCAAAAGCAATGAATTTTTCCCCAAACTATGAAACACCATACTTCTAATATATGAAGACCTTGGTTTTTTGTTTTTTTTTTTCTTAATTCAGAAGCAGAAAATATGAAAATCAAAAAATAACTCTTCAAAGTATTACTTAAATACCAAAATCTGAAAAAACATACCTTTGCAGCACTTCATCGCAAGTGAGTTCCCGATAAAGATGAACTTTACTACTCGTCAAAAGTAATTTTTCTTCAGTGTTAAAATATCTGGGAAACCGGGCTTCTGCGATCTCAACCAGTCTGTCAGGGAATGAAAAGCACGAGTGAAAACTGCCCGTTGTATTTAAGTGCGCATTACTGAAGATCTTATCAATTTTAATTCAGAAACTCTTCAAAGTCTTATTCCTGGAGTAGACACATGGAAACTGACTGAATACACAAGTGGCACTGCAAAGTCAGTTTGAGCCACAAGGTGAGCAGTACAAGCTCACCAGCCGCTCCTTGGAAACCCTATACAGGGTGGATGTGGATCGGAACCAACTCGACGGCACTTAATAACAACGTAATAAGTTTAGAATAGAAGCCATCTTTTAAAGCACTGGTAGAGGTCAGCAGCCAAGAGCCTGAGACCAGCAAGGGCTTTTAGATCTCATCTAACCTTGAACAACCAGCAATGTTTCCTAGATTTATCTTTCTGGAAATAAATATGTTGATTATAAATAGTCTTGTGACTAGCTGCTACAAGACATGTTTAGTAATTAAGAAATGCTTCTATGATCTTGAATGAAATAAATATATTAGAATAAATATGGTATATTATCCCGATAATTACATTACCAGAGTCTTCATGTCTCAGTCCAGAAAAATATGCTTTCTCAGTTAAAACTCATGCCCTGCAAATAAATGCTATACACTAGTTCCTTGGTAACTAGGATATTATTCCTAAACAAATTAATGCTATTCAATAATTACTTGGTGGTGGTAGTGATGTACAACCAAGTTCGTTCCAATTCATAGTAACCCTGTATAGGGTTTCCCAAGCTGTAAATCTTACGGGAGCAGAAAGGCTGAGCTTTCTCCTGAGGAAACAGGCAGATTCAAACTAATGACCTTGTGGTTAGGAGTCTAGTTTGTTTTCCATTACACTACCAGGCTCCTAGTTCCTTAGAAAACAAATTATTTTTCAAACACTGAATTCTGATATCAAAGCTAGATCTAATATGTGGGATAGGCCAAGCAAAAGAGTGTGTCAGGTTAGCAAGATGCAACTACCTTTATAAATAACAAAAGACAAGAGAGAATGACAAGAAATTTCAAGTATTCCAGGTTTTAAATGTTATATATAGATAAATATAAACACATAAGATAGATAGATAGATAGATGATAGATAGATAGATAGATAGATAGATAGATAGATAGATAGACAGAGCTACACACCCACAATATCCCAGATATATATATGGATCCCCAGTGTGGAACTTAGGATAAGCACTAGACTGAGAACCATAAGGTTGGAGATTCAAACACACCAGCTGCTCCTTGGAAACCCTATACAGGGTCACTATGATTCAGAACCAACTCATCAGCACTTAACAACAACAAATGTGTGTGTGTATACATAGAGCGAGTGAGAGAGAGAGCACAGTGGTGCTGTACAATAAGTACTGGGCTATGAACCACAAGATCCATGGTTTGAGTCCACCAGTCGCTCCGCAGGAGAAAGATGAGGCTTTCTACTCCTGCAAAGAATTAAAGCTTTAGAACCCTATACAAGGTGGCTATGCATCAGAATTGACTCAACAGCACTTAACAACAACAATATACATATGTGTGTATGTGTGTATGTGAAGGCGAGAGGAAATGAAAGAGAGGGCACTAGCAAAAGCCGAACTAGCAAACTCTAAAGATTTGGGGATGGGGACTAAGCACCTCATTTTTACACAAATAATGCATGTTTTTTGCAAACTTCACAATCCCCTCACATATTAGTTTTCTATCCATGGCATGGGCATTATTTGCATGGGTGCTTTATATGTGAAAAGACAATAAATGTTTTCATTAGGGTAACTATTTGCTGAGTTTCAAGCTAGACAGAGAAGGAAAAACGTTCTGATACTTGGAAGTCAACTGATTTTTAATGCGATAGGTATCACAACATTTACCAGAAACATGAAAGTTTTTCAAAACATGGGTGCCCAGTTGATTTGAAACCAGACTGAGAACACCTAACTCACTGGCAACAACCACTGAACACCTGACAGACAATAATTATTCTCTGCCCTCTAGCATTTGGCTGGACTTGAGTGTTGAAAGGCTCTGGGATTTATTTCTCTCTCACTCCATTAATGCCACTCAGAAAGAATGATGCTCAATATGTGGACATGAACTAACTTTTGTTTCCGTTACCACACTAAATAACTGAACCAAATGGCTATTTACACACCAATACGCTATCATTTCCTATAATAAATTTCTTCAGTTTTTTAACCTCAGAAAACAAATCTGAAAGAAATAGCAACAAAAAAAAAAAAAAAAAAAAAGTGTAAATGCAGTATTACAAATGCTTTACATTAATCACAGTAATTTGTGACAAGCTTCCACATAAAGATTTTTTTTATTTTGGGTTAAAGCAAGCAACAGGAAAGGTTCTATCTTTTAATGCCAGACATTAATTATATAAAGTTTGAAAGCAATGACATCTAATGGGCATTTCTTTATCAATGATCTGTTGCTGGTGTAAATGGTTAACATGTTAAACTATTAACCAAAAAGTCAGAGGCTCAAGTCAAGAAGCACCTGGAAGAAAGGCTTGGTGATCTATTTCTGAAAAATCAGCTAATGAAAACCCTATGGCTCACTGTTGTACTCTGATACACACGAGGCTGTATAGCTCTCTAACTGTTTGCACTCAAGGACTCCTGTTAGGCTACACTGTTGTTGTTAGTTACCATTAAGTCAATGTTGACTTATGTATTAAGGCTGTAGTTGTCGGTGTTTCAACTCATAGCAACCTCAAAGCAACAACAGAACAAAACACTGCCCGGTCCTGTGCCCTCCTCACAATCTTTTTAAAGCTGGAGCCCATTGCTGATGCCACTGTGCCAGTCCACGTCATTGGAGGTCTTCCTCTTTTGTGCTGACTCTGCATTTTGCCAAGTATGATATCCTTTCTCCAGGGACAGGTTCCTCCTGAGAGATGAAACTTCACCATCATGGTTTCTAAGGAGCATTCTGGCTGTACTTCTTCCAACACAGGCTTGTTTGTTCTTCTGGTAGTCCATGGTACTTATAAAATTCTTCTCCAACACCATAACTAGAATGCATCAATTCTTCTATGGTCTTTCTTATTCACTATACAATTTTCCCAAGCATATGAAGCTATTGAAAATACCAAGGCTTGATGCTATTTATTGTTCCAGTGGTAAAGATTTTTCTTTGCTTACATTGAAGTGCAACCCATACTGAAATCTGTGGTCTTCGATCATCATCAATCTGCATATCGCAGGTTAATAAATCTTCATCCAATCTTGATGCTACATTCTTCTTCATATAATCCAGCTTCCTGGATTATGTGCTTAACATACATATTGAATAAGTATGGTGAAAGAATACAGCCCTGGTGCACATCTTCCCTGATTTTTAAACCACTTAGTGTCCCGTTGTTCTATTTGAACAAGTGCGACCTGACCTCTGTACAGGTTCCTCATGAGCAAAATTAAGTGTTCCAGAATATGTTGTCCATAGCTTGTCAAGACTCACACAGTCAAATGCCTTTGCTTCAGCAATGATGTCCCTTGTTTCACATCCTCCTCTGTATGCAGCTTGGATTTACACAAGGATGTGGAACAAGGGATATTCTGAACCTCTGGCAGTTCCCTGTCACTGTACTGTTGCAGGAATTTTTGAATTATCTTTAGCAAAATTTACTTGCATGAGACATTAATGATATTTTCTGATGAGTTCCGCATTTTGTTGGATCACCTCTCTTTGGAATGAGCACAAATATGGATCTCTTCCCATTAGCAGTTCAGGTAGCTGTCTTCCAAATTTCTTGGCATAGATGAGCGAATGCCTCCTATGCTATATCAGTTTGTTGAAAGATTTCAATTTGTATTCATTCCATCAATTCCCAGAATTTGTTCTTTGCCAATGTCTTCAATGCATGTTGGACCATTGGCTCTTGATCATACACTATCTCTTGAAATGGTTAAATATCTTCCATTTCTTTTTAGTACAGTGACTCTGTTTCCTTCCATCTTCTTTGGATGCTTTCTGCATCCTGCAAGGATGAACTGTGCATAGAAAGTTCTAATGACTTGGGATGAGATAAGCATTTTCCTATCATACACTTGGGAGTCCTGATGTGGCGCTGTGGGTTAATGCACTGGACTGCAAGGTCTGTTTGAACCACAAGGTTGGTAGTTCATGCTCACCAGTCGCTCCTTGGAAACCATACACAGGGTCGCTATGAGTTGGAACTGACTTGACGGCACTTAACACCAACAACATCATAAACAAAAGGTTTGACGGTTCGAAACCACCCAACGGTTTTATAGAAAACGTCATGGGTCCATTCTACTATGTTACATATGGTAGCTGGGAGACTAAAACGGCCTCGACAGCACTTAGAAACAACAGTGAACATGTTGTTCCTGTTCATGCCAACAGTCCTGAGATGACAGTGACATTGCTTTCAAAGTTAGTCAAGCTCCTCTTTCACCTTTATCCTTTGATTCACAAACAGCGCTGCCCTAAAAATTGTCTGATAGGAATTAGAGGACACTTGGCACACTGAGAGCTAAATCACACACTACATACAGTAGCTCCTTTAGTTCTAAACTCAGTCCTTGGTCCCACATGGGCCTCTCTTTGTATATTTATCATAGTTAGGATTTTACGTCACCGTGACTATTTAATTACTGTCTTCTTCTCTTGCTGGACTATGTCTTTCTTCTAGGTCTCCAGGCTTTTCCTATTTCATCACAACTCAGAAATGACCACTTCTGCCTCCTAAAACTGGACTCCTGCCCACCCAGTTTTTCTCACACTTTGGCCCCTGTCCATTTGCAGCTCTAAGACTCATCTTTATATTCACTCACCATTTTATTTCTCCCAAGGCTTTATTTCAAAACTTCTAGTCTTATCAAGTGTCCTTGTCATTGTCCTTTTCTATTTCTAACCCCTGCAACCTGCCTTCTTCAAGTTCTTTCCAATAGGGATGATACAGAATTCATTCAATTCATATATACAGAAATTCGCATGATGGCCAAATTTGCCACAGTCATTGGATTGACTTCTT